TTGAACCCGGAGTTCGACACCGGTGTACCAACCAGGTTCGAACACCAGTATTCGAACTCAGTATTCAAACACCAGGGTTCGAACCCAGGGTTCAAACACCAGCATGCAAGCCCCAGGGTTGAAACAACGGTGTTTGAACCCTGGTTCGGGGGCAGGAGACAGGGCGCGGAGGACGCAGGGGGCAGGGGCAGAGGGGCGGGGCAGGGGAAGAGGCAGAACCAGGGAGACAAGGAGAGCGGAGGCAAGAAGAAACAGGGGCAGGGTGGCAGGAACCAGGGGCAATTTTCTTGGCCATGCGGCACGCACATCATGGACGGATCTGAACAAAAGACACTTGTTCAAAGGAAACTCAAAGACAACAGAAAGTGGACGAGAGAAACGCAAGACACTCCTTAGCAGAAAAAAAGCTTTGACGGACTTGTTTCAAAAAATTCGACAGATTGCATCTCTGAAGTTTCCTTGTCATTTTCAAGACTTCATCTTGCACTTGAGCTTGGGAATGGATGTGTGACAAAAGGCGGCTTGCATGTCGGAACTAACACGCAGCCTGCGAGGTGGACCACGAAGAAGCGCAACCTGCACAGCAGGCAAACCTTGTCCGAGTCGCGTGGAACACGTAGTCTCAGGCTGCAGCTGCGTGCCAGGCAGGAAGCACAGCAGCGGCAGAGAAGCGCAACAACAGGAGGGCTCGGAGGCTGCGGGCGAAAGCACGACCGCATGGTGTGAGAGCGTCAAACAAAGCACGGCCACGGCCAGCAAGACAGCCCGTGGATCTGCATGCAAGCGAACTCCTTTTCGCACTCTCTGCATGGCGGATTACAGCTAAAGAAAGTAGACAGACACAGAACGAGTTCGCGCGACACGCTTCAGATGTTGTCGGTCACAGACGGCATCGCAAGGCAGGTGCAATCTAGAAGGTGGCTGTCACACCAGGACGGTCCCTCCAGGCTTGCGCTTCAACAGCGACGCCGAGCGCGAGGAACTCTGGGATCGGGCAGAGCAGCCCCCGGCAGTCTGAGGACGATGTGGCACAACGTTCATGTTCCACAAGAAGCCGATGAGCAGCAAATAGATCTCCATGGTCTCGAAGCGCATGTGGCGCAGCGTGCCTTGGAAGTTCGAGAGCCAGTTATTGAACTGCTCGTTGTTGGAGGTGTTGACGTTGGCTAGCTCCGCATACTGGTCAATGCAGACTTCCGGGAGGTACAGACGATGTGCGGGGTTCACGCAAGCCGTGTGATTCCCGCGATGAAAGCGATCGAGGACGTAGCGGCACTCCGCGAGCTGTGCCGTTGTGGACGTCGAAGGACGGCGAGCACGACGACGAATGAAGCGAGCAAGCATGCAGGACGTGTCGTAGACAACAAAACGAAGAGCTCTGCGAGCACGAACCTGACCAAGGAGTCCGAACACCTGCGTAGCAGATTCTCGACCAGCACAGGCGGATATGTTGCAGACTGTTCCGCATGGCAACAGGAGGGCCAGAGCACCCCCGGTGCGTCGTGCGCCGGCAGGTACCTGCGGTTTGGCGAGGCGGCAGCCATCATCCGCCACTTCATCCTCATAGTCGATCTCAGGGAACGTCGCCTCAGACTGCACA